ACATTTGAATCGGAGTAGCCGTTTCTGAAAACTTTAAGCGGATGGATACCGCCATTGGTCGCTAGGGGCCCCTAATAGATTTGACAGTTCGGCAACAGGAAAAATTTAATTCAGCACCCTCGAATTGACAAAGAACAAGCATTTTTTTTTTTTGCCACCAAAATGTTTTAACGGACTTCATTTTCTAGGCAAGATAGGATTTCTGGCCCACGGTCTAAATGCAAGCGATCGGTATATGGTACCACTGTCAACGCTTGCCGGCTGCGCCGTCCTTGCTTCGTACGTACGTACATTCATGTACATGCATGACTTTCTGTGATCAAAACCACAGCCTGTTTGTGATGATAAACATTGAGGATATATTTGCTGGAATCGACCTTGTTTTTTTAAAAAAACAAGGGTAAATCAAAGCCTTAAATTTTAGCCACGAATCCTGTTTGCATGATCCAGATACAGATGCGCATAGACTATAATTCAATCTATTTTGTTCCCTCCGTGATTCAATTTGTGTATTTGTGTTAGTCGAAAATGACGTCTTGCAGCAGAAGCCAACATTTACGTAAGCCGTCGATCACAAATTATCAGGTCCCGAGAGTGCCGTCTTAGCCGGAGTTTACTGCTCTATATTTCCTTTGCCATTTTTAGTGTTATGCTCTGGTTTGAAGTCCATGTATTTCATTTTTCATTTTTGGGATCATATGGAACTGTTTGTCTCATTCCTTCTTTGGGATAGCCGATAAAGGGGGCTATTTATTTGTACAGCGCTCACCCTGGATACGCACTTTAATCCAATCAGGAGTGACATTTAGTGCGCGCATCACGCGCGCGTTCATGGAGACGTAAGAACGTGTCGATGGATTTGGCATGTAAACAGACCATTACAAACTGTTTGTACATGGCGAGTCGCAACATGAACAGCAGTATTAAACTTTACTAAGTCAGTGATTGATTACGTGAAGTGCGTGTGGAACAGTTTTTGTCGCAGCAATTGCGTTTATCCCTTGCATGTGTGTATTCGCCGTGTGTGTCAGTACAAGTCTACCATCGCCTGATCGCGCGAGCGCGCGCGCGCTGAGTTGTTACTTTTGTAACAACACAGTGGTGGAGCGTAGCAAAATGAAGTTCGCCGTATTTTAGGGCGGCCAAAGGACTGATGAGTAAAAAAATATTTGTTTGGTCCTTGGTACGGGGTCTTAGTTTTACCAACTGCATTGAACGATCGATCAAAATGAAGCTTACAAAATCCTCTTTACAGTGCCAAGTGTGAATTTATTACTTGAAGTAACGGAGCGTCATGAATTCTGGAACTTTCAGTGCAGTGCGCACACTGCGGTAGCCCGCCGGTCACGCTGTCAATTACGTGCAAATCTCCGTAGCTCATTCTGCTGTTAGTCAAAATGTGCGTGTTGTCACAAGTAGGAAAATGTACAAGGTACGGATGTATGGTTTTTCCATTTTTCCAACTTTTCCTCCAGAATGTTTAAGTAATATATTTTCTAGTTTAAACTCGGTGTGCATTAATCTGAAAGTCTTGGAAACAGTCGTGAGGCCGTCTTTTTCTTTGCTTTGTGTAGAATCACTATGGAGTAGAGCGCGTCGTGTTCATGCCACTACATGTACACGCGCGTGGTTGTCTATGGAAGATGCGACTTAACTGTTTGTAATGCGAAAACGTGCGTCGAAACCACCCATTTTTTAACACAAATTTGAGACATCCATTTATTCCAAGACAATTTACTTGTAAAATAAGACCCACACAGCCTTCTTGGAAAGCCGGCGAGCTAATTGACATCGAGGAAAGTGCATCAATTTCCGATAAATTTGAGTGTTTCCCGACCTTTCATTAGTTTCAGCGACGTTACTCCGTGCATCCGCTCTGCGTGTGTCGTCAGATGGTCACTTCCATTCTACTCTCGGGTGGATAGCATTAGCTCTGCTCCAGCACGCATACTTAGGCCTAGCCTAAGCCTAACAAAACAGGCCCTAGGACTATGAAAAACTTGTCAAAGCTTTTACATTGTGGAGCATGCCAGATAATTTCAATGAAACCTCATGTGAAAATGAGTTGGCCGTTTAATTTTCTTAAAATAAATCCTTCAAAGAAATGAAACAGTCCATATGACCAAATATGGTAATGGGATGTCCCCGAAACGCGACCGACGACACGGAACGGTGAACCTCTTTTGAGAGGACGATGTACTTACATAAAATTTGCATATTGACCTTTTATTGAAATATTAATCGAATATTCACGAGCCATTGTTTCATAAGCCGCGTGAACAAATTGTATAATGAGGTTCAATGGGTCACGACACGGCGCGGAAGATAGTGTTGTGATTTGCTTGAACAAAGACCCATATACATTACGCGTGTTTTGGTTAAAACATTTAAGTCGAACTTCAAGCATACATGTACTAACACAAAAGTTTCACAGTTTGTTACAATTTTCTCACAAAATGATCTTGAATAACTGTAGTTTCAGATACCGAGTGAACAAATTGTGCGGAGTACTTGAAATGAGCAGCATACAGTGATTTAAAAATGACAAAGCATTCTCGGCATCGAATTCTACACGCCTATCTCTGTTTCGTCGTTGGCGGCGCCCTAAATGAGACAATCAGCTCCATATGTATCTTTAACAAAGAGTTAATACCCTCGTTGCGTTTAATTTTGATGCATTGTTTTGACCAGATGGAATAGAAATGGTTAACAGGATATTTTTGTTGAGAGCTCTGTACCATTTTGAGTGACTGCTCTCTGGGAAATTACAAGTCAGTTTTTTTTCAGTGTGCATGTTCCTTGCCAACTTAAACATGGTTTATTTCCTTAATATGGTTAAATGTATTGTCAGTATGCTGGGTTTTTTCATTTTGGTTGGAGGTTTAAGGCAAAAAGTTTTAAACCTTGTTCTGTAACAAAACAAGTTAAAAGAACGTGTTTTAGTTAGCAAGGTAAATGTTGGCAAAAAATACATTTTTCATTTTTGAAAAAATGTATTTAGGATTTATGGATTGTTTTGTTTTCATGGCTGTGTAAACTTTAGGTTTTATTTCCTTATAATTGAACAAAAGTCAATGAAAGACTGGTGCAAGTTGAGATAAAGCAAGCCCTCCTGTGTTCTTACTACAGCTTTTAGCTGTGTACACATGCCCCGCATCTCTACTGTCCGCATTCACGGTAAACTTTTCACACGCCATTTGTTTTTTACACTTCCTGTTCATCAATTGTTGCTTTGATTGATTATAAATATGGCTTTTAAGTCATTGGTTGCTTTGGAAATCTTTCACTTAAATAAAGGCTTAAAAAGCCTTGGAAATTTTCCTGGCTCGAAAGCACGACGGCAAAAGAGGTAGTGAAGAGGCATCTTTTTTATCATTTTCTTCAAATCTCACCCCTGGATTTAGTGTGTAAGATGTTTAGACACGAATGTCTTCTGGGTTCATGCAAACTATTTTTCGTTAAATTGAGAGTCACTTTGTTTAACCAAAACAATTGTGAGAGACAATTTTTGACATTCTCTTCCTTGACAATGGTTTAATGTGTTTTTTTTTCATTTCTCCTTGAATTTTTATTTAAAGTAGCATGTCACTATGTGGTTCTTGTGGTTAAGCAGCAATCGATAAGTTTGGTTCACTTAGAAAGAGCAGATGTTTTTTTTGTTGTACATAAAAGCTCGAACTGTGGTGAAGTCTCACACGAGTAATATCAAATACAATGTGAGGCAGATTGCAGGATCGTAAGTTGGAAAATGGTGTTTTCAAAGATAGGATTGCCTAGTCATGCTGTTTGCACACAATTAAGGCTTGTTTTGGGTTTTTAAGGTTAACCCTGCAACCTCAAGCAGACATAAGCGCCCATGTGTTTACTGCGGGGACATGCAATCACAGCTCAATAGGCACTTGAGGCGGCGGCAAAAAAAGTGAAGAGGAGGTAAAGGCTGCTTTAAACCTACTAAATCGAAAACGACTTAAACTCAATGCCACACTGAGAAAAGATGGAATCTACAAAGAAAACCTCACCAGGTTAAACACTAGCGACGGTCACGATGCCACATTGCTAAGGGATATGTGTCAAGGGCCATCAGAGGTCGTAATGTGTGGGCAACGCAGGGGTTTTTACTGTAAGCGCAGAATTTGGCGGCATAAACAAATATGTCATGATACAGCTGTCAACAAAACGGTATCCGTACCTGTGACTTCTCTGATAGGAGTGAAAGATAAGAAGCACGATATGTTACAGACGAAAGTCTTGGACAGGTTCCGTGGTGATGAAGTGGGGAATGTTTGTAGAAGTGATTCTATGATCATCAACCTGGGAAAGAAGTTGTGGTCAAAATCTGCTACAAGAGAGAAAGGAGGCAGTTGTAATGAACGATATGAGAAGGCTCGGAAACTTACTGCATGGTCAAATTGAGGCACCTGTCAGGGAAGCCAAATCTGGTTGGGGAGGATCTCATCCGACGAGAATATTTTCACAAATTAGAGGAAGCTCTGGATGAGTTGACCAAGAAAGAATCAAATGAAATGAAGCATAGGATTCGTCTCAGTATTGGATACTTGCTCAAGAAGGCTGCCAAGGTTATGAAAGCGTTGTACACCATTGATGGTAGGCATAATCTTGCTAAGGAGGTGGACTGATTCCTTGCAGTACTTGACCTTAGCTGGACTTACTGTTCAACAGAAGCCTGTATGCAGTTGAAGGGAAACGCCAGGCAGTACTTAGGAGGCCTCACTTCATGCCCCTGGAAGATGATATCATAAAAATTGAGAACTACACCATCAAGTCTATGAATGAGATCATCAATGACCAGTATTTGGCCTGGAATAAGGCCTAAAAAAAAAAGTTATGTTGGCGTAACGGGCCAGAAAAAATAGGGTAGGTAGGTCGTTTTTTTTTTTTTTTTAAATCCCAGCAACGAAAATGACATTAAGCCGGTAGTAGTACACGATAACAAAAGAAAACAAGGCTACACACAATATTTGTTTACTTTTATACTCTGAGTGACATTTATTTCACTTTTTATGTCTTTCCTGTTTTTGTGCAAATAAAAACAAAACTGTCAGGTCGAACAAAATTTAAGGGAGGCATGGAAGACGAAGGCCTGCAGTGTGCTTCAGGACAGATGAGGCATGAAGCCAACTTGCTGTTTTTGGTGTACATCTGTAAAATGAAATATTAAAAATAAAAACCATGAGTTAAGAAAAGTTCTGGCTGTTGTATTTCAGTTTTCAGTATGTTATATTTAAATTATAGGCATAGGATAGGATAGGACATTCAAGCAATATTTACCTTTTAGCGTTTAAATGGCCTAGATTTGGGGAAATCTTTCCCATCATCCAAACACTTGTTGCAGACTGGCAACACAACTCTGTATTTTTCGCGTAACGCAGCTCTCCTTGGACCACCAGTTGTCTCTGCAACGCAGAAGCAACACACTCCAAACAGGAAATTTCCTGAGCTATAGTATGGGTACTCAATTGGATCTGCACAGTTCAAGGCAAGACGCACAAACATCTAGAGGAGAACATCATTCAACACAGACACATCATTGAATGTTTTCCTTAAACTCGTAAAATGGAATAACGAAATAGTGTTTATGTAAAATCAAACCAGTTCATACCTTTTTGTAAAGCCTGTGTCCAATTGGCACAAGCATACTCCCACATGTGTACTCGCAGTCTTCAATACAAGCATCTAAATCAATCAGATCTTTAGAAGATGGCTTTAAAGAGCTGTAATTTACTCGTGGCTTTCCACATTCCCCGCACTTGATTATCTTGCGAGCATGCTGTGCAGTCAATTCCGACGTCTTGCATCCCTACAAAGTAGCGCATAAATAGGGAAAATTTCATTGATTTAAGATTGTTACAAAACAGTAGATATTTAAAACATTATGTGAAGATTGAAATGCATGTATTTGACAAAAAGAATCACTACCTGAGCATCCTCTGAAACCTTTCCTACAAAATTCTTGTTGGAAGGCATGTGCTCTTGTGTGGTTTCTTGTGGAAGTAGCACTTCATAGCTCTTGTAGTGCTCTCCCATTGAGTCTGGTACTGGATCCGGTAACCAGGCAAGGTCCTCCGCTGGTAGCTTCTTCGCACTGCAACATTTGGCATCATCACACTTTTTTATCTGTAACAACAACATTTATATGCGTTTCATATAAAATGCAAAAGAAGGGGTAATATCAACAGAAAACATAATAAAAATAGCAAACATAGAGCACATGTGTATCACAATACCTGGAAAGTATAATTCCGCGCTCGGCAGTGTCTTTCTACAAAGTTCTGATAATCAGCCAAGCGAGACACAAACCTCTGTTGAAGTTGTGTCATGTTTATAGCTGGATCTATCTGAAGTCCAAAACTTTGGAGGCCCTCTACTTCATCATCAGACACAGGGTCTCTTGTGACAATCTATAAAAATAGACAACATATTAAATAAATATTAAAGTCTGTTATTTTTTATTTAAAAGCAATGGAGTCTTTAAGAGAATAATGAACTTTAAAAATCTGTGACTTACAGGCTTCTCTTTCAAGGCAAGGCGCTCAAATCTTGTTCGCAGCATAGAGACCATATCCACCAAACTGTGTATCCAGGCTGGCTTAAGGTCTGGGTGCTTCTCCGCAGCTTTGCGAATGGCCGCCATTCCTGTGCACTTCTTGATGATGCCTAGTATCACAAATCAAATATATGGAAAAGTAAAAGCACAGAAGAGTACTTTTTATATGTAGAGATTTAATGTGTCATAAAACAACAGAAAAGTTTTTACCTTCAAGTTCTTCTGTACATGTGTCTCTTTCTAACGCAACATTCTGTAGGGCTAGATTTAAGATAGACATAATGCGTTCCACAGGGTTGATCCAACTATGTCCCGGAGCACAACGTGCTGTTACAAGCATGTCAAGGTCTAGTGCGCGGAACAGACAGATGAGGGACATCTTGACAGACTCGTATGTTAGACGATGATCGGGGCCACCATCTGAGAACAACAGCAAAACCTCTGTTTTGATATCTTGCTGCATCACATGTTTCCTGATAGACACAGCATGGCGGAAAGGTGTTGAAGCCTGGAAAATGGAGTCATTTAAGTGGACCACCACTTCTCCACGCCAGAAGGACTTGTCAACACTATCTGGAATCTCCACATCCAGGATCACTGATGGGGTTAGATGACCCTTGTTGTGTACATCATGGTCTGCAGCTGATATAGTTGACGCAGAAGTGCCCAGTTGCTGTTTGCCCCGAACACCACTTGCCATAGCAGTTCCCGGTTCTCCAAAGTTCACTTTGGACTTGTCATCTACACACAGCAATTTACAGGACGCTTTGAGTTTCACAGCCATTGAGCGCAGATATTTGAAAATAGCGGCACAGTAGTGCACATCAGGATGTGTTTCTCGCAACTGTCGTCTCTGTGGGAAGGTAAATATTTGTCAAAATATAATATATTTTACTTCAAATACGAATTTCACAAACACCTAGAACAGAAGATGATTTCAAATGTGTATGAAAGGAAATAAAAACTACCTGGTCTCATGAAATGAAATATACCACTGAACAACATGGTCTCGTAAAATGCATGAAATGAAAAGTATCACTGAACAATGTGATCTCAACAATTCAGTAGCGGGCATGCATATCACATTGAACTGTACCTGTATTTTGTACTGCACAGCATACTATTTTGTGTATGTAGCAGCTGTATGACTATTTTTGTTTCTGGGCTGAAACTGCAAACGTACCAGAGACTTGCTGGGAATGTCAGTATTTGGAGGACATTTCCGGGTTACTTGCTTTACAAGATCTGGGAGGGATATCCATTGGGACAGATGGGCCACATTATGTCTCCTGTCGTCCGCTGCAAGCACCTATAACATGAATTTAATGTTTTTAATAGTGGAAACAAGAATGAAAATGACGGAGTACATTTTCCCTATATGCATTATATGTTGTATTTAAATTCATAAAATATTCACCTGTTCTATTTCTGTTTCCAGATGTTCAAAGAATGTATCAAACTTGTTCCCTGGGCGACCTTTATTCTCTGTGCGAAGATCCACAACAATTCCAACTTCTCCCTCCAGGGCCATGCGCATCCTTGCATCCATCTCTGGATTTTGGTCCACAGAGGCATCCATACTGAGCTCAGAGTATAATGATCTGAGAACATGGGGCTGTTTCACAATACCAGAGTACCTATAAAACAATTTAAACAGTTTGAGTGATTAATTGGTTAGAAAGTGTAAATACTGTACAATACAGTATTAAATACATTTTTCACAAAGAAATTCACCTTTTCCTGAAGTGTTGTTTCATTGCATGTGTATGGTACTGAGGTTAATACATTTGGTTTGCCGCCAACAGTTTCGCTGCATCGGTAGGTGCTTGGCTGTATGGTCTATCTACTGGTACTTTACAAATCACATAAACAGCAACATGGGAGCCTCCAGGACAGTATCTGTTGAATGAAAATGGGATTTTTTTTAATATCTGATTATTACTTGTATAACTATTTAGTATTTTCAAAGCAATATCTTGGTGCTTTTCAGTATCATTTACAAACTGTTCCTTTACAGAATGCTCTTACTTCAACATGTCCACATCCACAGAAAGGTGAAGATCTTCAAAGAACCGCATTTGTTGCATTCGATTGGTGAAGGGCTTTAGTAGGTGCAAATGTTCATCAAACAATACACTTTCTCCAAAACTTTGGGCTGCTACTACTTCATCTATCTGGCGATACTGGTCATCTACATGCGAAACTTTCACACGAAATGCTACTGAAGCTGCATCTGACAACTGTAAAAATAATATATTATAAACATCAAGAGAGATAAGGCTCTTTACTTGAGGGCCTAATCAAAAATGTGTAGCAAACGTTTATAAAGCTTTTCAAAATCCATAGGCCTACATGTGAGATACTTCATTGTTTGTATATTGAATTAAATACAAGAATAAAGAAAAACCTTGAATTTCACAGAACTGTCAGGATAGGCCTATAAAATATATCAATTTGTTGGTAAATAAAAAATCCCACACTGTACTCCACCTGAGTAACGCAGTGGTTCATTTTTTGTCTCTTGTTTTGTTTTTCAGCCTGTATTCTCAGATATTCTGCATATTCAATCAAACACTCCCCCAGCTCTCGTACTGCACAACGGACATCTTTCCATTTACTCCCAGAGATCGACGGGCGGCCTTGCAGGGCATAAAATTCATCCCCGTGCCTGGTCAGGTCACTACTACACAGACACTGTTTACGGTGTTTTTTCTTCTTCAGATCGTTGAAATTTTCAAATCCATGCCATAGACATGGAAGGCTCTTCTTTCTTGCCAATGTGGAATGGGGATTCGTAATACACCATAGCGCCCTGGTCAGTGTCTGAAAATTTTGAAATGAAAATACTTCTATAATTCTAATTAATATTTTTAATTTAATATCAATATTCAAGTACATTTTTACAATCGGCAATGCCTAGACATGCTAGAGTCCCTCCTCTCTAGCTACGACTAGCCTAGAAGTAGGCTACTAAAAACTTATAGCAGTGTGGTCTAAAAATATCGAAACACATTTTGTAGAGTGGGGCATGCCTACCTGTACTACGTACGTTCCCTCATTTTCCGTGCAGAAATACAGTCCCCTTTCTTCAAAGAGAGTGAGAACTTTATTGTAAATCTTGTCAACTCCAGATGTCCCACCAACTACACCACTGCTAGTAGTCTTTCTCTTGAGAACTGCTCGTCCTTGGTGGCCCTGCGGTGTTGACATGATCTTAGAGAATGCATTGACGGAAGGAATATGTACTGGCTCATCATCAACCTTTCCAAAGGTACATACAAAAAGCGGTATCCAAAATCAGACAAAATGTTAGCCGTTTCATCTGCCTCGACATCTTTATATGGACCCGATTCTTCCTTTGCAGTTTGTATTTTTTGCACGGTGTAACCCGGTTTTACACCATCGGCACAGCTCTGGGCGATTACCCCCAGCTCTAGACTCAAATTTATCCGCATTAAACGGTCGAAAATGACCGAAGATCCCCATTTGCCCTTGATGGAAACACTGTACGCTTCGGTACCGGGCGCCATGATGCGACGGCGTACGCGCGTAACCACGGGCCGGGGGCCGGCCGGGTAATGTTGGCCGCCGGGGTTACAGAATAATTAACCATTTTTAGAATAAATTTATATCCATTGTTATCGTTTAAAATAGTAGACAATTAATTAAAATAATTTATATTATAATGAACTATTTTTTTTAACATGGAATAAATAGCGAATTATACTCAGATTCCAAACAAAACAAACAAGGACAAATTCTTTGATTGAAGGCCACAGCCTTGAACTTTGTTTTTATTATTAATTGTGCCGGATACCAAAATGTTCTGGGCAAACCGGTCACACACCAAAAAGGGGATACACCTGATCCCAACTACTGGGGATACACCTGATCCCAACCACTGGGGATACACCTGATCCCTACCAATTGGCACCATTGCCTTTAGCGGGGGTACACAAGACCCAAAGAACAACCTGTGAATCCCCCCGCCTTAAATTGAGATCTACAATTGTTCATTTTCGAATGTTGTTGCCACCGAACTTATTAGTTGCCTGCCACCAAACTGACTGTATGAATTTTAACTTTTTCTGGCTAAAGCAGGTATTTGTAATGTATAACACATACCCTATTATAAACTGTTTATACACAAGTACGATTTTTTAACTCAAGCAAGTAATGAATTCTGACCATTGGTACTTAAAGTCAGAACTGGAATAGCCCTAGGGGTACATCAGGGCACTGTTATCACTGCTTGTTACACACATTGTAATTACGCCATAAAAATTCTCAGAAATTCCACAAAACCTGAATTCCATAACATTGTTAAAACCTCATTAAACATTGTGCACTTGAAATGCAAGGCTATTGGCTGTGTAAATCCCGTCAAAATTAAGCAAGACAGTACAACGACAGTTGCTCCTTAATCGGAGGAGCATTGGGGTGGTGGCGGGAATTTTTATTTCCAAATCACTGTTGTAAAAACAATTTACATGTACATGTATTCAGCTCAAGAAACTGTGACAAAGTGAGGCTATACACCTTCAAACCCACAATCTTCCTAGAGTCCCCAGATACAGCCAACTCTTTCATTGGTTAAAAGTTTTGCCTACCTCTCCTGTGATTGGAGAGCACCTCCTAAAACTTTGCATCTAATTTGCATAACACTGCACTCCCTAATATGGTGTTGACCTAGATGTTCTAGAAGTGTCCAGGCTATCTATTTTTAGCAATCATGTAGGCCAACTGTATAGACTTGAATTCCCTGTGTGCAGCCTCCAAAAACAGACTGGTAATCTAACAAGTACAATGCAACTGAGTATAAATAATTTTATCTTTGAGGGATAAAATGTGTTATACTCAGATTCCAAACAAAACAAACAAGGACAAATTCTTTGATTGAAGGCCACAGCCTTGAACTTTGTTTTTATTATTAATTGTGCCGGATACCAAAATGTTCTGGGCAAACCGGTCACACACCAAAAAGGGGATACACCTGATCCCAACTGTATACTGGGGATACACCTGATCCCAACTACTGGGGATACACCTGATCCCAACCACTGGGGATACACCTGATCCCTACCAATTGGCACCATTGCCTTTAGCGGGGGTACACAAGACCCAAAGAACAACCTGTGAATCCCCCCGCCCCAAATTGAGATCTACAATTGTTAATTTTCGAATGTTGTTGCCACCGAACTTATTAGTTGCCTGCCACCAAACTGACTGTATGAATTTTAACTTTTTCAGGCCAAAGCAGGTATTTGTAATGTATACCACATACCCTATTATAAACTGTTTATACACAAGTACGATTTTTTTAACTCAAGCAAGTAATGAATTCTGACCATTGGTACTTAAAGTCAGAACTGGAATAGCCCTAGGGGTACATCAGGGCACTGTTATCACTGCTTGTTACACACATTGTAATTACGCCATAAAAATTCTCAGAAATTCCACAAAACCTAAATTCCATAACATTGTTAAAACCTCATTAAACATTGTGCACTTGAAATGCAAGGCTATTGGCTGTGTAAATCCCGTCAAAATTAAGCCAAACGCATTTATGCGTCCCAAAGGGAAACACAGCCTATATGCCCCAATAAGCCAACATTAAGCCTGCAGCGCAGAGAAACTAACAAGTGCCCAGAACGGACTGAATGCCTTGGCGCAGGTTCCCCCGAAAGAGACTGTTACCCTGGGGAGACAGATGGACCCCGTCATACCTATACAACGACGTCTCAGTCCACACAAACTGTGGATGGCACAGGTAATGCGCGCCTAATTTCACACATTGTTTCCTTGCCCAGCGATTTAAGGCCTTGCGCTTTCTTTCGAGCGATGACTGCGATCGCGCACCAAAGTAAAAAACACGAGGCAAAATGGCAGACCAAATTAAAACTGTGTGCGGAAAACGCACTGTGCACGAGCTCAGCAGCAGCAGAATTCGCTGACGCATACAGAACTCGTCCATATTTACAAGATCATTTGTACCTACATGAATCAGCAGCACTGAGGGGTCAGGCCCGTGTCGTGCTGCCAACATGGGCATCATGTCCCCTAAATGTGCCCCCCTTTTGCCGTGCCAAACAACATCGATGTCCAGGTCAAGATGGCCTGCTGCCCAATGCACAAGGGAGTCCCCCATGATGAGTGTGGAACCTATACAGGCATTGATGAAGCATACAAGCAACAATATCATTGTGTACATTTTGTATTGTTAACCAAAAATCAATCTGTGTGATTGGGTAATGAACACACCGGGACTGGGCGGATGTAAGTGGAAACTGCGTTAGAACGCCAGCGACCCATAGCACGAATGTGCTCGACAGAAAAGCCCAAACTAGCCGCAGAACTTGCGGCCCCTATTCGAAATGAGTGCCCACGAATATGGTCATCTGGCACATTAGCAAAATTGAGAGCTTTTCGCATAACGGCATTGAACTGATAGCGCGTGAGCGGTGTGCCATCAAAATGACAGAATAGGGGGCCTGTAATCGATGGGCGGATCTGCAAAAATTCTTGGAGGGCAGAAACTGGGCAAAAGTATGCATTTCCGAATCGCACTATGCTAACGACTTGTGGGGGTCCATGTTGATTATTCTTACTGTGCCTAAAGCTAACAACGATGGATGTAGCGATTTTGTCAGTGTAGCAAATGGAAATATCAGAATCCAATAATACTGACTGTTGAATGCGGTACCGAGAAGTCGCAGCAAATTCACCTACCCGCATAAAACCAAAATAAGCCATCAGAAAAACGGCTTTAAACAGGCTTGACTCAAAGCAGGATGAGCATACAGCAGGCAATGCCGCAACAATTTTGTGTAGTGTAGGTAATGATACCGGCTCGCGTGCGTCTATAGAGGGGTTGCTCCGTCTACACCCTTCAAGTAGCTTAGATACTAAAAAATCCTTAGTGGGATTACTAAAACCAAGCACATTATGATAATAACCAATGGCCGATACATACGTATTGATTGTGGACGAGGCATAATTCTGTAAGGATAACCATGCAATAAAACGACGGACATCGTCGGCATTTGCGGATGTGCCAACCACATCCATATGTTGCTGCTGAAAACGACAAAAAATTCTCCAACCCGCCGCATATGTCTTGTGCGTGTTTGCTGCAAGTGCTGCTGTCAAAAGTCTATTCATTTCATCCTCTACCATACCAGCGGAACAGATGGTAGAGGTGTCATGGCCGCCTCTGCGTGTGGTGCTGCAGCACGGAACCGACTCATCTGGAAATGGGATAACGCATCAGCAATAACATTATATGTCCCAGGCACATGAACTGCCTTAAAATTAATATTAAACCGGAGACACTCAAGCACAAACATACGAACTAGATGCATTACTTTGGGACAATGAGAAGATTGCTTATTGATGATATGCATCACAGCAACATTGTCTGTGTGGAACTTAACCTTGCGATTGGCTAGTAGAGGCGCCCAGCAAATCACAGCAATGACCAACGGGAACAGTTCAAGAAATGCAATGGATGGGGGGTTTTGCAAAACATCTGCAGGCCAACGACCTTGGACCCATTTTCCGTTCAAATATGCACCGAATCCTAGATTAGCAGCTGCATCAGTGTACAAATTAATAATTGAACTGGCTTCCCAACCTTGATCACAAAATGCCGAAACCCCATTGAAATGGGACAAGAAATCAAGCCAGAGCAGTAAGTCAAGCCTGGCCCCTGTTGTTATACGAACCTTATGATGTGGCCTGGTTAAACCAGAGGACAAAGCGATTACCCAGATAGAAAGCTTACGTTGGGCCAACGTAGGATTTAATTGTTGGCCCGACATCGGCGTGCCGCATTGGCCCGATTTGGATTTGCTCATCGGCACACGGTTGGGCCAACATGTTGGGTTGACGTTGGGCCAATCACTTATACAGAATGGCCAACCTTTGGCCATCGTTGGGCCAATGTCAACATTTAATGGTTGGGCCAATGAGGCTTCAGCGATTGTTGGGTCGCAGTTGGGCCAACAGCGGACCAATCATGACTACTGATGGCCAACATTTGACCAAGGTTGGGCCAATACTAAAAATGCGTGGTTGGGCCAATTGTGTTCAGCCGATTGTTGGGTCTCAGTTGGGCCAACAACGGGCCTACATAGAGCCTTCGTTGGTTGACGGTTGGGGCAGGTAGGGTGTTTGGTTGGTGTTTTAGCGCGCGTCTGCATTCTACCTATATATTTGTAATGATGGTAAATACAAATGTTGTTTTGGTGGTGAGAGCGGGGTTGGGAGCATTACTTAAAATAATACGCTTAAACAGAAAGAAAAGATACTGCGTTTACTTTCTTTGTTTCTAAGAATTCTTTTGACCGTTAGGGATGGATTTGTCCAATGATCATAAAAATAAATTTTCAATAAATTTACTAAATGGGAGATTGTATACTGCGTTCTTATGGTTGTTCAGCGAAAAGAAAAATCCTCATAGCATATTAGACTTTAAACCGATTGCACTTTAATTCTTAACTGATTCGTTTACATTTTTATGAAAAAATAACATAATTTACAAAATAATGATATTACAATTACAGGGTATTTGGAATGCAGTCAAAGGTTAACTTATTTTTGTATAGCAAGAACAATGCAATCTTAGCTTGTCTATCTGCATTTTTTTGGTGAAATGGTTTATAGAAAAAAAATACTGAGTTTTAACACATTAAAAACTACTTTCAAAGTGTTGTCCATGTGATTGTTCAAAGCATAGCAGTTATATTTCTTTGCAACAATTTTTACGAATATTAACACTTTTTCTTTTAACACTTTCAAAAGTAAACGGCAAGTAAATGGCAAAATTGCCACTGATTTAATATAACAAACAAACTTATGTCAACTCAACAATTGAACTTCAATCTGAGCAATCACTGTCCTCGCAGAGCAAGTCTTTGAAACTTTGCTGTAATCATTATTTTGCTAATTATTAAAAAGAAGCTTCATGGTTTCGGCATTCTAAAACTAGGGTTTGTGGTAATACCAATTATTAATCTTCTGTGGGTTGTGGTAGTTCTGAAAAGCCTCAGGTGTAAATAATTACACAATGAGTTTTTTCCTTCACTTTTTACCACCTGCTTCAAGAGAGATTATTAAATGGCGTCACAATAAACTTTAGTTTGAGAAAGTTTCCCCCATCATGCAAAGTTTTACATAAAAATAACTTCAACAAGAACAGATACAAAAAGGGTGTTTTAAAAATTGGTAATTGTACTTTAAAGGCTTTGTTGGTTGCAGCAGACCTTAACGTTCTTGACTTTCACTTGGCTTTGGCAATCGGAAGCAAAAGCTTTCAGATGAAACCATGAGTTTTTTTTTTTTTTACTGTTATTCACTAAATACCAGTGTTTCAAATGCCAAATGAAAAATAAATCAGGCTTTATGCACCAACCCACACTGGCCATCACACAACTGATTGAAAAGCAAGACTTTGACAATTTTTGGGGTTCATCACAAAAGTATCATAATTTCAACATATGGAATCCAGTAAAAAATAACACAGCAATGCTTTAAGACGTCATCTAAAAAAACCCAGCTTTTTTACCAAAGGCTTTTGAATAGGTCTTGTCATATTAACTGTTAAAATCAAGAATACCTCTTTTTATGAAACACTATTGAACAACCTTCATTCCCTGTCACTGCTGCTGTATTCCTCTGTGGATAGTTCATCAAGATTGGAAGGACTCTGGCTTGCTGCAGGCTCAGCTACAGCTGCGGCTGCGGCTGCTGCTCGTCTTGCTGCCCTGCCACCATCTCGGTCTTTCGAGTAGCGGAGCCACACTTTCATCACCTCGTCAATTTCGGCGTTTGTGGCCGACTGCACGGATGGGTTTCTTCGAACAGCTCCTAGAAAATAATTCACATTTTTTTCCCGTCAATTTCAAAGTGATCATGAACAGAGATATTGGAAAGGCAGGATTTCAATAAGTTAGCTCCATGAGATTAAAACATACAGTCCAATCACTTACTGTGTATGACAGTGACAAGCCTCAGCTTGCAAAAAGCTTCCTTTGTTCCTTTGCCAACCCAGTTATACTGTCGTGCTAGGTCGTTGCTGATGACACATGTAAGGATTCTTCGTACGATGCTCTTTAGACTGTCTCCCCCGATGTTGGATAAGTATGTCACCTGAGCAGACAAAAAAATTAAAACAACTCTTTTGCATGGTCTACAAGATTGAAACTTAAACGTTAAAGCAGAATGAGGTTTTTGATTGTAATTGTTTTTAATCCTTTAAAGAAAAAAAAAGTTAATGCATAAATAGCTATAAAAATGGAAGTGATGGCCCACCAATTGTTTCTCCTTCTCAAAGTTGTTTAGGGTAGTTTCAAGGTCTCGCATGTCCTTCACCAACTTTAAAGGAAGAACCACCTCCTCTGGAAGACCACTGGTTGAAGCTGTATTCCCCTGCACATAGTTGTCAAGCTTTCTACAGATGCTGATGAGCATTGCCCTGTTCTCCGCTTGAAACATCTTGACCTCTTCAAGCATTGTCAATATTTTCTTTTCTGTTGCTATGTGCATAGACCGGGAAAAGACAAATGCATAACATTAAAAAAAACAAATAAATACAAACTTAAAACAAAAACAAACTGTTAAAAAAAAAAAAAGTTCTGTTAAGAAATTATCCCTTATGTTAAGCTGAGAAGCCATGTTTATGACATGACCGGACGAGAGTAAGTAAAACATCCTTGATTACCTAGAACATACAACCCAATTGTGAATGGTCAAGCAAACTCATGCATTTTCAGCTTGAACAAATAAGGTTTTACACTGTTTAATTAAGATCTATAAGGCATCACAATAAGTTAATCACTTTATTAACCCTAATTATCTGGGGTGTGTGCAAAATTGAATCAATTTTGGAGGATTCAGGACTGTGAAGTTAATCTGAGTTGTTACTGAGATGGACATGTCCGAAAGTGTTACATGTTGGGAACAAATGAATTTCATGACACCGAAATACCACTCTCTGCCCCCCCCCCAAAAAAAAAGCAGCCCCCAAAACACCGTTTTTTCCACTTTATAGAATGATTATAAAAAAATACCTGTACAAACTGGAGCTGGCCACTGACTGATCAAGGATGAGGGTGGAGAAGGCAGTGCTCGAGGAGGCGTCTTTGGTGCAGAAGTTGCAGCTGGATGTTGTTTTTGTTGATTGCTCGCTGAATGGTGTGTGATGGGCCTGGTCTATCCTCGTCAGAAGAGGAATCGCTATCTTGGTAACGGGGGTTTGGCCTAGAAAGTTTGGTCAACAAAAAGTGAAACAGTCCATTGTGTCACATACTACCTCAATAGTGTAGCTTTACATTTACACAAGCTCAAACTCAAATTAACCGACTCCTAGAATTGTTGTTAATATTCAATCAGCTGGAAACCGAACAGCAACTTTGTGTCTGGCCAGTGATGATAGTCACAGATGTCCCAGTCCAGCACACAGGATTGTGTTTGCACTTTCCAAACCAGTGTCAGGTATACAATTTGTTGTACAAATTCATGGAATTGTATCATGAGCTATGAAACTGTTAAGGAAAAGTACGATCTGAAACTATTCATTCCCATTCTCAAGACGAAAAAAAAGCTGGAACACTTTTACTCGCACCATTGGTCATAATTTATATTCAGTGAGCTATTTGACTGAGACTACTCAAATTTTGTTTTATGAAAGTTTCATAACCTACCTAAAATTAGTTTGAATCATTACCTTGACTTCCTCTTCACAGGGATACCAGCACATTCAGCATCTGTGGCCAAATCTGAAATGTCCTCTGCCTTCCTCACTTTTGCCAAGCCTTTTTCATATGAGCCTTCAAAAATAAAACAACAAAAGAAATATAAATGCTATGCCAGCATCAATAGTTTGTCTATAAATATTTTGTAAAAGTTGCCTAGCAAAACACTTCCTGAATTATCAATTTTGGACACTAGGCTTAAGCCCCCACTACCCACAAGTGATATACCATTTTGAAACCATTTGCAATTTCATTCAAACTAACCACCTTTCTCTAGATCAAGGTATAAACATGCGTTTATGATCGATTCAGTGTGTAAATGCTCTTGAGTGATGAAACTGGGGGCTACACAACATTTGTAGAAGGATTTTAAGAGAGGAATTTGCAAACAGCTACATTTTGAATGTGGGGGCTAATTAAAACATGTGAAGCATAATGAACTGCATCTGCCCTGTTTAAAACTTACTAGTTTTGTACAAAACACGGCATGGAAACTTCTGATATCCATCTGTTGGTGGTTCACGTTTCTGCACTGCCTTGTCTACTCTCGTCTGTGACTTATAAGGCGGCCACATTACAGATGTCTCATTGTCCACCAACCAGCTCTCTGCTGCTAATGCAACCGACTGCTCTCCAACAAACTCGACCACTGCATAGATACTTGACATAATACAATCATCCTCAATTAGATTGAGGATATTTACACGTTTGCTTCTTCAGATATTTTGAACGCATCAATTTCTAAAAACCATGCTTTTCGAGATCAGATTAAAAAGTACAAATTTTAAGGAAAAGTTCATTGAAACTGTAAAAAAAGAATTTAGAAATTAACAGTGGTCAAAAAGTACTTTTGATGCATCTACTTACTGAAACTAATGTAACTTTGATGTGAAAATGTCAGTTGCAGAATTCAAAAGACCTGGTGATTTAATGCTACAACTAAGTGGGCCCTTCTGTAAGGGAATATTGCACACTTGCATCTAATATCTGCCATGGAGCATGAATGCAGTACACCATCTAGTCTTTTTACCTTGTGTATGCCAAGACAGCCCGATGGCAATGGGGTCATGAAGTAATTATCTACCACTTTGAAAAGTTCATAGATGACAGTTATCTGGCCATCCAACAAAATGTTGCGAACTATCCCAACGCCATCATCAACTTTAATGCAACTGTCCCTCCAAGTTAATGAGATGATACATGAGCTTAAGTGAAGCTCTTTGTACTGCTTAGTACTGTGGGGTTGGATAAACTGAGGTAAAGGACCCTCCGAGTGCTCTCTTTTTACACAAGGCTGCTTGTTTTTGTCACATGAATGTGCCAGTCTGTCTTCCGAAAGCCGACGCACAACCTGCACAAGAGGATATGATGGTTTCCTTACCAGTTTTTTTAGTTTCTGGAGAAAGTTTTCGAATGGAAAACTTGAAATATTGTCCAGAGTCCCAAACTGCTTAGCATCACTTGCTAAGTGAATGAGTCCATGAACGTTGTAAACAAACTGGCTCCTACCATAAATACTACCCATCTGTTCCACAAACAAGACAAGTAATTTTTGTGCATAGTCACTGTACAGCTGACAAAATCCTGGGTTCAGGAGGATATGCATTGAAACAGAAAGGAGCAGGAAGTGATAATAAACCTCCTTTGAAACCCTTCGTTTCAAAACTAGTTTCCCAGTGTACAATAGTATCTGTCGGAATTCAGTTGCTTTCCAGCAAGCGATTTCCTTCAAGGACCGTGGGCGTCTTGCAAACTCCCGTGGAACACTGTTTCTGAGATTCACTAGGTCATCAGATATCTCCTTCCTCCTTATCGCACTTAATCGGCACTGTAGGGGGCCTTTAATCAAGAGCAGTAACAATCGACGAGTGACACCCAAACACACCAGATGCATATAATCAACTGGGAATGCAGATACTAGACCTATACCTGTGTCATTTAATGGGCATGCTTCTAAGTGATGATACTCATCTGCCATTTTGAGGAATTCATCGTCAGTTCTCAAGTTTGCATCAACTTGTGGAAATAGCATTTTATTTTCCCATTCCCCTTCCACCCAACATTTATCACAACCATGATAACCACTGTGTGACTTCACTCTCTTGATGTATGCTCGGGCAGGTGTGTCACATATGACTGATGAAACATGAAGAGTGAAATGTTTTTCATCCATATCAAATCCTTCACTTTTTAGTCCGACAACTTCCTCAATAAAGTCATGCAAGTACTCTGAAACACTTTTTGGTTTGGTTTCTCCAACAAACAAAGCAATGATGAATGGCTCTTTGCAACCCATTAAACGACCTAAAACAGGCCAAAACTGTGTGTTAGAGCTTCTAAATAGAGGCAATCCATCAATGTTCACTTGCAAATATAGGGATGACTCATCGTACAACTCAACATGTGACTGAAGAATGTCCTTGATCCTATCTACGATTCCAAAATAATAATACTGGCCTCCAGCAATATCTTTTACAGCAAGAGATGTTTTTGTATTCAACAAAGTCCGTGGATCCTTGGGCATGGAAGGGAAATAAACCTTTAGTATTTCCTGTAGTGCACCAAGAGCTGACATAGGAATATTTGTTCGTATTGCCCAAATTTTGATATCAGCTATCAACTTTGCTTCCGATCTCATAGTCACACTTTCGTCTAAGTTAAACTCACTTCCAGTACTACTAGAATGCCCATGATGGTTATCATGGAATTGGTACATTTGCATATCTTCAGGAAGCAACATTAGGTGATCAAATGATTGGTTACTGTTTGTGTTGCAAGCAGGATCAAGGAAGGCATCTGTTGCACTTGCAGGCTCATCAACCATGTCAACATTGCTTAAGTTTGAGTGTTCTTCATCAGACGAACTTGCAGTAAGTGCTGTTACCGACTTATCAGGCACTAACGCCGAAAGGGATAGGCCTGGGTTGCCATTGTTTGAAAGTAGGCCTAGGCCCAAATGATCGCGACAATTGGGCCTAGGCCGCTTAGGAGTACTTTCAATTATGTCATTAATGTGTTCTGAAACTCTAGCTTTTAATTTCCTTCTCTTTGTCCAGTAAGACGATGCCCTGTACATTTTACCCCAAACAGTACTCAATAGACTACCGTTTAGTACACAGCCAAAATTATTAGCAAAGTCTAGCCACAGATCCAGCAAGCTAAACGTTATGGAAAATGCACACTGTGGGCCAGGTACCCTACGGTTGCTCGTACATGTACAATGTACTGAGCAACGTGATTGGGCTAAGAAAACAATCAGCCAAGCCTAGGTCTACATCTTCTACATATCGCATTTAAAACACGGTTTGTATGGCTTTAAGAAATTGATTGGAAAAGTTCTACACACCTCATCTCAACAAACTAGCATGCACTTTAGCAGTATCGTGGTCTTTGTTGAGCAAAGTTCGGTTGATCGGTTGCAGAGGGACTCCCTTGCTTGATTCTTGTACAGACGGCCGGGGAGAGAGCATGTGTGGGGACGTGTACTGCATACATGCACTAACAACGCGTTCACGATCACCGATGCGCGCTATATTGTATACAATACTGCGTATTTAATATGTACGAGTGTATACGAGTTATTTGGCCACTTGCCAGCTAGCTGCTGTAGACGCGCAAAATTTTCGCGGTGTTTTTAGTCCATTATTTTAAAGCACGGACAATTTATAAAATGCTTTGAATTTATGAAGTTTTCTTTATACTACATAAATGACATACAAAGGGATAATTATTTTAATACAATCCGAAGAAGCCGTTTACTGATTCAATTTCTTGATCTTTAGTAATGAGTTTGACATCCGTATACTGTATGTGCGTCATATACTTTCACATTAATGTGCGAAGCGCATTAATTGTATTGGGCCAACGGCGTGCCGATATGGAAATTGCCGTCATTTTCAGCAACATTGGGCCAACAATGGGCCAACGGTCAACTTTTTTGTTAAGTTTAAGAAAAGTTTCTGTTGTTGGGCCAACAATGGGCCAACATCACTCAGCCAACACCGATATTCAGCCAATTAATCAACCATTAACCAACGTTGGCCCAACATCGGCTTGCTATCTGGGTAGACGCCTCATGAATGCTCGCCCAGGGGACACCGCCCTTCACACAAAGTTAAGGGAGCCGACCAATGACTGAATCCCAACCAGGGTGATTTGCGCTTACTTAACACTGTATGAATTTGCGCAGATATGGCTTGTACTTTTTCCCGAGGTACCTTTACTTGCGCACGCAATGCATCTATTTCCAACCCAAAATACTTGAGGACTTGTACTGGCCCTTCTGTTTTCTCAGTTGCCAGTGGAACCCCCAATTCTTCGCAGCTTGAGGAAAAGGTAGTTAGCAAATGTGAACATGATGAGGCTGAGGGAGCCACAAACAAAAAATCATCTATGTAGTGGGCAATG